GTAAAGTCGGTTTACTGACGATAGTTGAACGTGACAACGTCATAAGAAAATACTGATGGAATGGTTCTATTTTTCAAAAGAAAATTTTAATTTTATTTGTTTGATAGATATTTTGTATGGATATAGAGAAGGAGGTAAATGGAAATGTATTATTGTATAGCAGCTGTCCACGCGGACGCATCGCTCACTCAACTAGGAGAGACAGATGTCGAACGCTGCCGAACGCGGAGGCCGATTGTGCCTCTTTGTCGCTCGTTCCGCGCTCTCGCTTGCACTTCAAGCCTTAAATGGAACGCCTCAGAGCGAGGTAACGTCGCATGAGTCATGTTCTTCGTGCGTGCAGCCGGTTTCATCGAATTATAAGACGTTGTCACGTTAAAAAAAAACGGTTTACGTTAGGTTCAGAAGTAAGTGTTGTTGGAGCCTTGTCTATTATTTTGCTTACAGGAATGTAAAAATACAGAAAAATTAAGATTGGGCTAGGTTACCTTTGTGTTTCTACCTATTTATATTGTCTGACATTGGGATCTGCGGAATACGTTAATACTACACCAAAAATAATCAAATTAATGCCTGTAGGTCCGCTGCAGTTCTGATTTTCTATGGTCGATTGTACATGTAAAAATTTTCATAATTTTCGAATCCATTATTTTATTTTATCAAAAATGTTGCTGAAGTGAGTTATTGTCGATTTTACAGGAAGAAACTCAGGATCCTTGCTAATAATAGTCAATTAATCGGTATTTTTAAACTGGAGACTTGGCAAAATCTCTACAGATACTCCAATATATCAAACCTTGCTGCAAATGGCTTTTGAATTAAGAAGTAAATGTATATTTCTGAGAAGATTATGTTTGGTTATATTCTTGAAATGTATTTCAATAATAAGTACTAAAGCCCCTAACCGATTTATCAACAAGAATATAAAAAGTTTTTTCTTAATGATATTGATTTGATTAATAATTACTTAAATTTTCTTTCAGATCTTTCATTTTCCACATATCTTCACAAACGTAAGCTTTTTATATCTCCCTCTCCTGTTACCTCCTCCAAAATTTAGAGTAATGATGTATCCATTCTGCTTTCAGATATTTTAAAATTTTATCACTGTGTAATTCCAGTGTTTGAATTGATTTTATTTATTCAGAACATATTAAAATTGCATTAAATGTTGAAAACTTTATATGAGATATTTCAATTTTAAATGTAATCTTTTTCATGTCAGAATCAGTGATACCATACCCTTTTCCATGCTGGAATATAAAACGAGCTAATCCTATGTATATTTATATCCGAAACAACTCCAACGTCTTGATATGTTCGAAAAAGGGGATTATTCGTCTTCTTCCAGAAAACAATTTAACAACATCCACTCTCTGTTTTTTAAGAAACCGCTAAATTAGTAACCGATGTTAAAATATCATGTGCAGATATTACATTTCATTACAGCTATAGTTCGTTTAGTTTCTGTAGCGATGTGACCTTCAGTTTGACCGGCGCAATGTAAAAAAGAACAGCACTAGGCCAGAAAAGAAAAGAGACAACTCTCGGCCAAACTCTTAACCGGTGAGGAGCATATAATCCGTACAGTACTCCACAGAAAATATTGACCATTTTATCTACTACAATTGCATTGCCCAAATGTACCGTTATTGGTACCAATTACTACTGAAAATATCAACGAGATGTTTATTTATATTTGAAGACATATTAAAGGTTTAACGCTTATTTTCGACTCGCACTACTATTCTTGATTGAACAAAACTTTTGGCAGGTACTATATGAAAAAGTATGTTTAATAAACCACCTACGATTTTGTCAGCGCGCATCCAAGACATTGGAAGGGGCACATCGCTAGAGAAAGTAAATGAAGTATACTACTAAATTTCGTAAACAGATTTTAATATCTCATCATCATAAGGTCGTCAGTCCTAAGACTGGTTGTTCACGCACATCCACTTCTTCCTATCCTAAGCTAATCTTTGCATTTCTCTAAAACTAGAACATCCCACATCCTTAACTATTTGTGAACAGTAATCTAATCTACGTCTACCTCTACCCCTCTTAGTTCCTGTTTCTGCCTCTAATATGTCTCTGACTAGACCTTCATGCTTGAGAAGGTGTCCTACCAACTTATCTCGCCTATTTTTTATTGACTTCCATAAAATCCTCTTACTCCTATTCTTTCTAATACCTCTTCATTTCTAACCTCTATCCAAGGTGTCCTCATCATTTGCCTGTAACATCACATTTCGGATGCTTCTAACCTTTTCTTTTCCGCCGCGTCCACCGTCCATGTTTCGCACCCGTACAGCACCGCGCGCCAAACATACACATTTAACAATCTTTTAAAAATTAATACTTACACCAATAGTGTGAACGGCTGCTAAGCATATTCAAATTTAACGTTCCAATACTTCTTGAATTTGAAGTCTAAAATCATTTCTGAAAATTAATATGTACGACAATTCGCATTTAAAATTTCATTGTATTCATGCTGCATAAAACTGTGCAAGTACAGCATGTACAGACCTTGCATATTAATCTTCTTTTAGGATTAAAATAAGTTAAATATTTAAGTTTTAGTTTAGTACCTGCTTTTGAAGCTGTTCACTGTCAAGCGTTTGTTCAACTGATTTTAAAGAAACTTTGGCCTCAACTTAACCAAAAGGGATCTTGCGAATTGTTTACCGTCTAGTTAAGCTTTTTTTTTATTTTTGATGAACGTCCAGTAAAGTATTAAAGTCTAACTTTCTTAGAAGATTTATGCAGTTAACCAAAAAAAAAAATAAATAATACTTAAACTACCTCGGGCGCGCTTTCGTTTTAACTCGACGTAAATAATCGTTAAAAAGAGTAAGCGAAATATCAAATAATTTTGGTAAGTACTGATATAAATACTGATTTAAATACTGACAATTCGGTTCGTTGTCTATTTTTAATATACAATGTAATTTAATCCTTAAAAAATTATTTATATATAGGTGTAAATTAAAAATGATGATTCTAAAGCTACTCGCCGTAATATGCAACTTGGTATCTACTTGGAAACTGCTCATGCGCGTGCTTTATAACTCGTCCTAAAAACATTCGGCCTGCCACTTAAAAACCGAATTAACCACTTTCAGTATTGTCAACTATTTTGAATATTAATTATATATTAAGTACAATTAGAAAACCCAAAGAGAAACTACAAAAAACTATATCTTAGAATCTCCCATTAATCATGTGTATTCGTTTTCTGAATATCTTGTATCTTGTATAGTATATCATACGGAGAGTAACGCATTGGATAAAACATCATATATCATGGGACGTGAATTGTAGCCGAGTACTTTATCACCCGTTACTTAATCATTTCTGAACGAAGAAGAATTTCTAGCAACAAAAACTACTTAATGTAATATTCATGCACCAGAAAACTCATTTTCTTCATGAAATAAAGCACAGCATACCTAGATATATGTGTATATATATACGTATGTTGTCACGCTTTTCGAGAAGACGACTTTATTAAAGAATGCCACTTCATTTTTATTTGTCCTTTTGAAAAGATAAATCTGAATGTACAATCAAACCGGAGTGATTAATGGCAACATAAAGTGAAGTTTATTTCACAATGCCAAAAATATAGGTTAGTGTCTGTTCTTTTTATAACATTTACTAGGTGACTTAACACAGCACGAACGATCCGATGTAAAAAAAATCCTTTTAGTGTATTATCAAAAACACGTATGACAATAAATTTGTGAAATTGTGTTTTATGCAAGCAATACCCTTATATACCTTAATGTAATGATCAACGTGGTTCCTTCCAAACGATTGATCCGGCTCGAAGGACCAAAATATGTTGAACACTAAGTGAACCGTATATTCGTTATAACGACTTATGTTTACAGTAAAGCTCTCACAGCTAGATTATTAGTTTTCACAATACCCTACTTAAAAAATATCTGAAGAATCCTATCATATTTATATAAAATTAAATACTTAAAAGATTATTTCAAATAAAATTATGCTAATTAACTGAACACTTCCGAAGTCGCTTTCTTAATATAAAGGATTTTACCGTCCCTATATATCTACTCATACGCAATAGCAATAACAATAATAGGTAAAAGCAGTAAAATCTTATCTAAAATTCCTGTAAATATGAAGTGCAGTTAACAATCTAGTTAAATTTAAACTTCTTCCTGTTGTCTAATGGTAAAATTTAGAACACGCCCACTAACTTTTTTTTGTGTTTTTAATTTAACAGTCCAGCTCGTTTGAATATCCTTATTTACATTTCATTTGGCTGTAAATGTCACCGAAACCTTATACAATCGCATATTTGGCAACTGCTGCTTTGTATAATGTAAATCGGACTCGGTCTACATAACTCGAGAGGTCATATTGTTATAACTTGCGGCAAAATTTTAATTGTGAACCCCGCACATCTGTTTTTCATTTCACATTATATACGTTATTCATACAGTTTACAAAATTATTGCAAACGCAAAATTGTTTTCTCGATAGAAGCGTCGAGCGATATTTTCATTCCTGGGATAACAAAGTCATTGTTTGACGACCAATTATTTCGTTGACTAGATTCAGTGACTTTCATTTCCGTTATCACCTGAATTAAAAGTGTTTTAATTTATTAACCTCTGCTCTTTCCTATCGATTAACTATTAATTTTGCTCAAGATAGGAATAATTGTTTTTATTTTGCCTACTAAAATTTTCTTTAACAGTGATAAATGATTTGATAAATTGCCCAAATGCCTACATAAATTTTATTCTGAATTTTTGTTTAATGTATTTATATTCTTTAGTCATTAGATAGTATGCTCTAAAAGACATTATGATGTGTAGTTTAAAACTTTAGTTTCAAAAGTTATTACGAACATGGAAGCAAACAGTAAACCAATTAATAATAAATATTGCTACATATTATGCTATCAACGCATTCTATCCTCATGGCTTTCAAAATAGTCATGAAACAAGTTTACGACTTACCCTTGCTGGTAGCTGGCAGATAGAAAGGATTTGGGTAACGACATCGATCTCTGATCAACTTCAAAGCAGGAGTAGTTGTCCTCAGTTGGAGCACTACCAGGACGCGATAAATCGTGATAGTCTTTCACGCACAAATTATCCAATGGCGTAGAACCGCTCGAGCCTTTACCAGTTTTAGGACTTTTACTATACGTGCGGTCACTAGGTGTCGCCCATATGTCACTATTCGACGACGAACCACTAGAACCGCGCCCGCCCGACGGTGACCGACTTTTCGAGGTCGAAGGTGAAATACGCGGCGATATTTTCTCGTAAATGTGCTCCTCCGAGTAGTCTCGGACCCGCTCGTCCAAACTATTAGGACTAATTCTGCAAAGATTTCTACGACGACCGTTATAAACGATTTCGGGACTTCTGTCGTTAATCACTTTACTGCTCCTTCTAGGGTAATTCCTGTAGAATGATCTCAGGGTATCGTGGGTCACTCGCGTGTCCGGGATATCCTGACTTATCTGCTCCATCAAACTCGAGGTGGAACTGTTTTTGTCCGGACTTCTACCGAGCGAGTGCTGATGCAGGGGATAACTTTGAGAAGCGCGCATTTGCTGTTTGACTTTCCAATTTTCTCGATGGGCACAGTGAGGCCAAAAATTACATGATTGTGGACATTGAACTATTTCTTCACTCATTTTGTACGTCGGAGCGTAGGCCTCTCTGCTGGTACTGGGAGTAGTAACACCTCGTTCTAGAATTTTTCTTCGTTCACGACCATTTCTTCCGACGTAATAAACCTCAAAACTGTTGGTATTTCTTTTTGGTAAATTTTCTCGAAAACGATCGTCTTTATTCTTCGCATACTTCTGCCACACAAGGGCTTGTGCAGCAGCTTTGCTTCTGGACGCCGCTACGAAGTCGGTAACTATCTCAGCCTCATAAAGGAGATCCCTTTCCGAAGCGGCACCAACTTCCAAAGATTTACTGGAAGAGTGGCCGTGTTTTCTCAGTTTCTCAGTTGAATTTGTATGTTTTCTATAAAGTTGTGGGCGCTCATCTTTTGCCGGAGAAATTCGGGAATGGGTTTGTTTGTCAGGACTTCGGTTATTGTTGCTGCTCGTTTTGTCAGGAAGCTGTAGACTTCTGGATCTCCGAACCTTCGTGTCGTCAACTGAACCAGTGTTATTCTGACGAGAGCTGGTTGAGCGTTTTGACTGATTCGAGGAACTAGAAGGCGATTTACGTCTGGTCTCTACACTACTAGAGGAAGAACTTCTAGAAGATGGTTGTTTGGCAGTATCGGAAGAGACAGGAGATCTTTTCAATTGAGGTCTGTGATGCGACGATCTAGATGATCTACTGGTCGAAGATTTATTTGAACGACTCTGAACCGATTCGTTTGAAGAATGCATTGGAAAAGGCGAGAGTGCGTTCAAATTAAAGTTTGCCGACGAACTGTTATTATCTTCTTCGTCCGCATCTTCGTTGGTATCAAAAGAATTTTGTTCTTTTAGTTTAGGCATTGAAGGTCTATTTAAACAACTATCTAAACTACGGAAACCCATGGAAGAAGACGATGATGAAGACGAACCGTACTTTTGAACAAAATTTGTTCTTCTACAGGCGCTAGTGTCTTCCAAAGACTTAGTTTGAGGCATTCTCGATTTTGGAACATCTTTACCAGACGTCTTCAATTTTCGGAATTGAGGCGCTGGTGGTTTAGTAACGAGAGGCGATTCAGGTGGACTCAGCACGTCTCTATCGATGGCGTTGTATCTGGGTAGGAATGGCGCTTTAGTGAAGAATGCTCTAGATTTCTCCTTTTTGTCCTGAAACGCAGGAGGCGGTGAAATAATTGGCGTGATAGACGGAGGTGAAGAATCTTGAACACATGGTGGTGAAGGTGGAGGAGGTGGTGAAGGGCTTCTTTCGATTGATTTTTTTGTGCGTTGCACTTTGATCGGCAAATATGCAGGTCTTTGTTTCTCGGGATTGTTCGATTCCTGACAAAGTTTACCAGGCTCGCTGTTGCAATGGTAATCTGCTAACCTGTAGAAAAATAACATTTACGTATTTTTTAAACTTTCATTTCAAAAAAATAAATCGTTTTACTTGACAATGCCTTTCCGTTGTTGTTGTTGTTGTTGATGTTGCTGGAGCGACCCCGAAATTGATGACTTCTTGTAATTGCTTTTTCGACAATCATCCAATGACCTTTGCTGGACCTGGACCCAACCAGACCTTCCCAAAAATACCCCATCAACTTCCCTATCACACCATCGCACTGGCGACAGCTCTCTACTGCAAGAGCCTGTAATGAACAATTCCTTTGAAGATATCGGCTCCTCGTAATTGAAACCGTTTTCGTTATTTTCCCATGGATATTTAACGCTCGCCGTTGAACCTAGAGACTGATGTTTAGTTATCGATGAGACGTTTTGCTTTGGACTACGAGAAGATTTGTGCGGTTTGGAAGCATTTGGACTAATTTTTGACAGGGAATCCCAACGGTCCGACGTATTTCTCAAATGAACTATTGACACATTTGGGCCTCTGAAAATAAAGGCAACTAATTATCACCAAATGAGACTTTTTGATCGAAGCCTAAATAAATAGTAGAACTAAAAACACCATTCGTGTCTAAATTGATGATTATGACCGATCCTTCCAATTTTAGTTTTCCTAAATGATTTCAATTAATGCTGTTGTCTACATTTAATATCACGTCAATAATATAAGCGTAATGGCCCTAGAACTCCATAAAGTGTGGTCATAAAAACAAACATAACATATAACATATAAAAATAGCTGATCGTGTGCCATAAAGGTAGTGTTTCACCAATGAACATTTCCGTTATTCTACGTTGACATTTATGTTAATTTGAAATAGAAAGACTGGAGTTGTTATTATCAATGATTTAGTACTCCTACAATAATACTTTTTAATATTTTTCATTAATAGCTTCTGGAAAACAAAAAGCAGACCTTGTTTTCTCACAAAATATTCTTAAAAAGTCAATAACGTAATAGAATAGGATGCCAGACCCGCCAGACATTACTTATTTTCTGAGTATCAAAGTGGGTGGGACAGGGTAATGTTAGTATGTACGAATATTGTTAAAAATTAGCAATTGAACACTGCCAAACACTTTGAGCAGTAAGTTCACAAAAAAAGATCGTAGTTTTACTTACAGTTTAAGTTATCATTTTTAGATATAACTAGAAGCGAAACCCGGCGTTGCTCGGGTTAAAATACATCGCATGTTTAATGGTATATAAAATATCTAAGGATCCACTTTTTAACGTAAATAATATAAATTTGATATTGATCAATTGATCTTCACTCGACTGCAAACACGATCAAACTGACGAAGTCACTGAATTTCGGTTTAAATACCATAATACATAGAAATTTCTAGTACCAGAATATTCAAGATTATTCTTAACAATGACAGCTTGTCCTTTATTTTTTAATGTTTTCAATCGTTCTAGAATGTTGAAGAACGAAATTATTCCTGATAATGACAGACCACCCTGTACCTTTATAAAATTTCTTAATAATAGTAGATCGTTCTAGAATATTTGGACAAAATCTAGAAAATTCTAGAAATCCCTGATAATTAATTGCGGATATTTGGAACTTTCCAGATCATTTGAGATATTTCTAGAACATTCTGGAATATTCCATATCGATTTTACCAGTTGCACACAATTTGGAACTTTCCAGATCATTCCAGATATTTCTAGAACTTTCTGGAACATTCCATATCTATTTTAACTGTTGCACACAATTTGGAACTTTCTAGATCATTCCAGAAATTTTTAGAACCTTCTAGTACATTCTAGATCGATTGTAACAGTTGCACACATTCTGGAGTTTTCTGGAACATTTCAGAAATTTTTAGAACTTTCCAAAAGGTCTCATAAGTTAGATAAGGACAGACATATATTTTTTTCACATTTTCGCCACCCAACGCGACCAAACTCCCTTACTTTCAGCAGAAGACCAAGGGCTATTTACCACCCCTATGGGAAGTTGATAGGAGTTGGTGGTGATAGGGAAAACCCTGTCTTTACGTACGCACATTAGCATTTTATATATATATTTGGAATTTAGATTTCAATGCTATTTGTCAACAGCCAGACCAATTGTATCATACCCAGACACAATTAAAATGTTGTATTATAAAGTCATCTAATTATCGCCCTTGCGCTTTTTAATAGAGTTTGACGGATGTTTGACCCCTACAATTAGTCTGGCTAAATGAATAAACAGCTTGCATTTTTGAGAGAACTCCATACGTTCGAGGTATGACAATATTCTTTAAAGTGATGTAAAAAATAGAACTTTGTGTATGTAAGTCCTAAATACACTTAATAATTTCCCGAAGGGTACTGCATATATCATACCATTTTTTAAATTAATAAATAAATAAGTTTTTTTACGTATGTATATTGAGTCCCCGAGACCTATGTATGTACTTCTGTAAATACATATATAGCAGTTACGGAATAGGCACGACAAGTTCTCTAATATTTTATTGTGCCCACTGGGTTGTAAATATTCAACCGCAAGATCGGCAGCTCCATTTTACAGTTTCGCAAACTACGTTACAAGCGTCCATGGTCAGGTCAGGAAGGAATTTTTCGCGACAGTAAATTTAAAAGTAGCCACAAGTAGAACGAAACGGCTTTATGAATCGCTAACTTTGCAACTGGAATGAACAAGTTTCCCGACAGCAATAACACGTGTTCTGAGATAATAAATAGCAATTGGAACATGTTGCGAGTTACGGCGAAAACGAGGGATGGAAGTTTTGGAAATTACATTTAAGCATATTCCTTGACATCATTGTTGCTGAGGGCAAAACATAATGTACCAAATAAACAATTTTAGAACTAGCGGAACTCACTCGAATTCAGAGTAATGTGTTTAAAATTTGTTGAAAGAACCGACTAATCGGTTATAATAATTGTCAACCGATTTCATTATTTGAGACAGCTCATATGTAAAATTTTCCTTAAATATTTTGTTGAAACATTTGAGTGTGTTGATAGTGTTAAAGTGTAATCTGTTGGAACTGCTAAACAGTTCACTTCGGGTTCATATGCAGAATAGGAGAAACTATAAAGAAATTAAAAAAAAAGATTTGAAGTGAAAAACAAAGAAATAGTACAAGTGGAGGAAGAAAGGAAAAAACAAAACAATAAGAAAATCAACATGTGCAAAAAATTGCTTAACATGGAACTCCAGAATGTCTTCAAAAGGGTGTAAAAGTGAAGAACAGTGAAGTGATAATGATAGCTGGTTTCAGAATAGGAAATTGATGGAAATATTGCAAATATTGGCTATGAAGTAGCAAAAAATTATACAGATTATTATGGAAAGAGAAAGTATCTCGTAGTCATTATGCGAAATGAATGTATGGAATATAAAGATTGGAGACGAAAATTTAGAAGAAGTGGCCGATTTTAGGTATCTAGGAAGTCAGGACGGAAGGAGTAGTAGGGATACAAAGCAGATGATAACGTAGGGTCGAGTCGCCATCAACAAAAAGAAGTCACTTCCATGCTCGCGAACGGTTAATTTGGAAATTCAAAAAAGGTTGTTTAATGTGTATGTTTGGAGCGTGCCGCTGTACGGGTGTCAGACATGGTCGATGGGCGCGCCGGAAAAGAAAAAGTTAGAAGCGTTCGAACAGGCGAATGGTGAGGATACTGTGGATATAGAAGGTTAGAAATGAAGAGGTATTAGAAAGAGCAGGAGAATAGAAGACTGTATGGAAGTCAATAAGAAATAGGCGAGATAGGTTGGTAGGACACCTTCTCAGGCATGAAGGTCTAGTCAGAGATATGTTAGATGCAAAAGATGAAGTTAGGAGGGGTAGAGGTAAACCTACTATTCGTTTCAACAAGTTGGAGATATGCCCCTTCCCTTTATTAGGATACGCCGTATCTTAATTCGAAATTCAATCATACTTGTCTGTGGAGCTCATTTCTCCACCGATCATCGAGCGAGAACTTGACAAAAGTCTACAGTACCATTTGCAAAATTATTTAAACTGCCTCCTTAAAATTTAAGAATATGCTTTATTTAAAAGCATATTTAGCCAAAAATAATTACAAGTGAATTAACTTAACGCTCTACTGACCTACAAAACTTTTGCTTTGTTTTCTATTGTTAATTTATATACGTTTTTGTTTTAAGAAATTGCTAAACATTTTCGTCTAGTACTGTACAGTTCTAGCCGATCTCCTAAGACCGCCCATCGAGAGCTATGCTCGTTCAAGCTTGTTCCAACTATTTCTGTCTTGCTCACTCCTAGTGTGTATTCTTTCTATCTTCGCGCAGATTTCTTCAAGGTCACAATTCTAACAAATTGAAATGGACTGTAGATTAGATTACTGTTCGCAGATGGTTAAAGATGTGGGTTGTTCTTGTTTTAAGGAAATGCGAAGATTAACTCAGGATAGGAAAAAGTGGAGGTGCGTGTCCAGCCAGTCTTAGGACTGACGACCTTATGATGATGATGAATGTATGGAGAAAGTAACAGCGTTACCTGTTAGGGGTACCTATTAGAAATGAGAGGGCAGCAGTTAAACAAAAAAATATATTCACATATACTTAAAGCACACCATGTATCACGTAAGAGGTCATTATTTTAAATCAAGACTCATTCTCGTCTTCAACAAGCGCCGATGAAGGCCTATACTAAAGAACGAACGTCCGTGTTGGTCTTTGATAAAGAAAGTATATTTTGCCCCTCTTCTTAGTGTATATTCTTACATACCTTTTGCACTTTACACTTTTCTATTTAAACTACTTATGTATACGATCACACATTTTTCTTATATTTTTTCATACATATACAAAATATACATAAAAGTTCTCATTTCCCAAAGTAAATTACGTTATTCGTTCTTAAAATCCTTACAAATATAATTTCTTTCTCCATTTCCAATTCAGCTTGTAAATCCTTTACAGTCGATTCGTTTACCCAAGGTTTACTGTTGGTGCGGTTGTTTCTTTAAAAATTTCTTTCCAACGATTCGAGTTAGTAAAACGCGTGGTATTTTCTATCTACGTCTGGATTGAACCCAAACGTGGGCTGATTAATAAGTTTTCCGTTACATACTTTCCGTATTCTATTACGAAATTTCACCCCTAATGCTGCCTACACGTTGTACATTAAAAGTAAACTTACTGACAGTCATTTCTCCATTGCAAAAGGTCAACTGAATTAAGGATGCTTTAAATGGAAAACAATAATGCTATTCAAAAGTCAGCTTCTACCAATGCATCTCCAGTTTTTTGTTCGCAAAGGGGCAATAAGTGTGGGAACTTGGTCTAGTTATAATTGACATACTTGGTTTTTGAATTTCTGTTCTCAAAATTTTTCAAATTATTCTCCGCATTGGTAAAAACATTTTCGTTATCGGAATATTGAAGAGTAAAGTTGAGGGATTTTACTGAAGTTCGATTTAATTAGAAATTCTATACATGAACCATCAAAAATTGTTTCAAAAACGAATTATACTTGATCAGATTCCCA